TCGTTCAGGTATAATACTTTCTTATTTGTAATAAAATAATATAATGATGAATATTTACACGAATTTTATGCAAGAAAATTTCCCCTTCTTTCCTTATATTTTCCCCCTAACAAAATTTCTCAAACTCTATGGAGGAAAACTCACCAATGCTCCCTCCATTTTTTTTTTTGTTTTTTTTATCACTATGAATACTTTAAAAAATTTAGGTACCAAGGGAGCAACGATTCTTATACCGTTTTGTAAGAGTTAAAACAATTAAGAATTATCAGGAGAAAACTTAAAATATTGAGGGCTAGTGGTAATTGGCTGGCCTATAAGAGTTCATGCTATAAACCCTAGCTGTAAGCAATATCCGTCCCCTTCATCCTTTCCATTTTCTCCTCCCAAACCTAGAGAAGAGAGCTCTCCTCTCAACCCTAAAATGTAGAGCAGTCGGCAGCCATATTCTTTCTCAATTCTCCCCTCTCGTCGTTTCAGCCGCAGCAGCAGTGAGCGGTGACCCTGCCATGCTTTTTTAATCAACGCCAGATATGCTATTTGAAGACGGCAAGATGGAGGTTTGATTGAAATTGACGACGGATTGAGCGATGGTGAGAGTCATGATGGGTGCGACGGAAGGACGACGAAAGGGGTACATGGACCCCTGCTTGGCGGCTACGAAGACACTCTTGCGGGAGGAGGAAAGACAAGCATGAATTTAGATCGTCGAACTCAGGTCCGACTCAGTGGATCGGTGGGTTTCCACTTCGGAATCATCAATCTGTCTAGGGTGTATGACCCTCGAGTCAGCGACGAGCAAAACTTAAGAAGATCGAACTCAAAGGTGGGTACGGTGAATCTCTGAAGAAGAGAATAAGAGGAGAGATGGAAGAGGCAGATATGTGTGTGTTGAGGATCCCACCGGCACGGCGACAGGCAGTTGTGTATCTTTCTTCATTTCTCTCCTTGGATCCCAGAAATCCCAATTGAACGCGGCTCTGTGATGAAATCGACAAGTTTCAACCTCGCAGATGATGTTGACTGTAGAGATGATGGTCTAAGGTAGTAAATTTTGGGTTGCATGTTGTTTTCTTTTGATTCTCATTCTCGAGGCTTTTGATCAGATTCTAACCCCTTTGGTATTTTTATATTTCTTTTTCTTGGGTTTCAATGGTGGGGAGAAGAACAATCGCCGGTGGTAACGAGATGCATCTCGATGATGACAATGATTCGACAAGGGCAGCGGTAGTGGGTGGGAGAGGAAGCAACATATATTTGTTCTTTTATTTTTAAATTAATAATGTATTATGATTTTCTAATAAATGTATATAGTAGTATAGTAAGTTGTGTACAATAATTGTCATTGATATTAAAGAAAATGTCATTAACAATATTATGTTGGCGTTTTTAATATATGATCATTTATTTTGTTATTGAAAAATGCATAGACAATAATTACGTTTCAGCTATAAAATGTATTTATCTATTTTATTTGTCATGAATGTTTCCATTTCTGATGTCGTTCTCTAGTGTTTCAACGAAACCATTGCGTCGGTAACAATTTTTCATTTATGAGGAGTTCTCCATTCATGAGGACTTTTACTTGTCAAAAATAACAAAAGGGTATTTTGGAAATAAAAACTTTCGCCTAATTATACAACCTTTTGTGACAATAAACAAGTCATCACAAAAACATGTAAGGGTATTTCGGGAATGGAAATTCCAAAGTGTTATTAACTAAAAAAACATTTTTTCTTACAAAAAAAAATTCTCACAAATACTTCAACTGACAAAATAGTTTCCTTAGAAATAGTTTTTCCTTTCTCAAAAAAACTTTTCGTCAAGTTTTTTCCTCAAGTGTATTTCTTTTCCGACAACGATAAATTGGGTTTTGATGATAATTTATCCTCACAAAAATTGTTTTTATGATGCCAATTTTTTTAAGACTATTACCTACGGAACTTTACCCCACGACCCGCTCACTACAGTATCACGTCAGAATAAAATTTTAGTGACGAGAAAGGACCTTTTGTGATGCCAATCGTCTGGTAACATTTGCCAGTCTTTTTTTAGTGTTGCGGTTAGGTTTGAATATGTTATCTTTGGCATGTGTCACCATAGGGTGACAAGGATCAACAAAGGATGCTTGGGAGCACGAGGAAGCTGAGGGAGCAGCTGACTGATGTGGAGGCTTCACATGTGAGGTGACCAACGCAGAAGGTGCTGACAGGAGGGGAGGAACCGAGATCGAGCTGCGTGCTAGTGGTAGTGGAAGTCGAGTGAAGTTATAGCGCTAACTTTATAGGAGTTAGCACCGTACTAACTACTTTAATTACCATTCATTATTTTAAGTTGAATCTAACGACAGTTGATAATAAAGGGCTAATTTGGTATTTCAAAAAAATTAACAATTAAATACTTAATTAAAATATAAATTTTCTTTCCTCTCACCCGTTTTTTGTTAGCCACTTTCGACCAAATTGTTTTTACTAAATCCATTACTGCTTCAATTAGTAGTGATTTTATTGTTAGTAGTAGTGATTTAAAAAATTTTAATCACCAGTTATGGATTCTTTTGAAAGCTAATAGTAGTGTTTTTACAATGTTCAGCAGTGATTTTCATGTATCTAGTAGTGATTTAACAATTCTAATTTTTAACAATTGCTGATTTTTAATAAGGATCACTACAAAAATTTTAAAAAGTACTATAAACCTTAGATGGGTGCAATATAGGGAAATTATGTTTAAATATCAACCTGGGTCGATCCATATACCCCTACTTCAATTGCTTGAAACATTATCTAGTGGATTGGTTTTGGTTGAAAACTATAAGGATAAAATTTAAACAAAGCAAAGGTAAATGGTTTGAAAACTCTAGATGAGAAGGATCACTCGGGTGTCGTTCCCCCCTAACTACTACCATAGCACGTGGACTCGAATGAGACGCTAGGAAGTGCAATTATGATCAAAGACCACACTCTTAATTGCCGAGCCAAGGGATAAAGGCCACTAGGGTAGCTATCTTGGTTAAGGCAATTGAGGGTTGACTTACCTTCTCCCTCAAACCAATGGTTGGACTGCTTAATCACGATTAACCTAGTCATTTAATTTAAGATAGAGGGTTGCCTACATTAACCTAGGTAAGTGGCTTGAAAAGCCCAAGGAATCCCAACTCAATTGAGCCTCTTTGGAAAGGGGGTTTCCCCTCAAACCTAGGTTAGAATGGACAATTAGACTGCTAAGCACAAACATGCACAATCATCATGAAACATACCTCATTCATTAAATTAAACAACACCCATAAACAATCATTCAACTCACACTACAACTACATGGCAAATAGTTAGGGTTTCACAACACCCAAGTGAAAAATGAAACTACTCCATGCTAGAAAGGGGAAGAACACAAAATAAAGAAGTAGAAACCATCATGGTGATACCTCCACTCTCCTTTGATCTTGTGTTGATCTTCTATTTGAGATATTCTTCCAAATTCACCACTTAGATTAACCCTAGCCTCCTTTCTTCTTTGGTTCGTCATTTCTCTCTATAAAATCTAAAGAAGAAGGTGTTTTCTCAAACTCGGGCTCCCCCTCTCTCTTCCTTTCAGCTCATGTTATATACTGGGATCAGGCTCAGTTCACGGCTTCAGTTCACGGCCGTGAACTTTTCAACGCGTCCGTGAACTCAGAGTGTTGTGTCGAAATGCACCACTTCACTCACTTGAGTTCACGGTCTTGGTGACCGCTTCACTCACTCGGCGTCAGTAACCTCTGAATTTGCTCTGGATGCTTTGTTGTTCACGGTTTACGGCTCCAGTTAATGGCCTTAGGAGACCGTGAACTCCAATGGGAAACCGTGAACATGGCCAAAATCACTCCTTTTGCCCGAACTTTGCTCATTTCCTTCTAAATTTCGACTCCGGGGCTGGTTTCACCTGTTAGATCCTGAAACACACTGAAACACATAAAACCTATCATAAAACCACCCTTTTAGGATCACAATTGCCACAAACTCCCAAGGGAAACGGGGATAAAATGTGTACAATTAGGCCCGAATCACTCAACCTATCAAAATGCTTTGGGGACAAATCAAAGAGCACAAAGTGGCGAATCTCAAATGACTATTGGCAATTAACACAAGGACCGTTGCAAGCAATACCGACATCCACCACAACCGACATTCGAGGCTACTAGAAACGGGCAAATGAAAAGTTCTCACCTTGTTCATGAATCAATGCAAGTTTCAACAAGATTACTAATCAACCACAACTAACCATGCATAGAGTTCAAGTCCAAGGAACAAACAGATGGGCAACAAAGTTTCTCACTGGGGTATGATATGACATGCAAAACAAGAATGAATCACTCACTCTCTTGACCAGTGGGGTCGGGACCTTTTGGTACAAAGAATGTGCACAATCATCAACACTCGACCCTAACGTCTCAACACCATGGCGGCAACCTCTAAATGCTAGAGTTCACGGAATGATTATCATCAATAGTTTTTCCGGAGGTCTTAGACACGGGTTCAAATGTCTGGCGATTGTCTTGGACATGGGGAAAAGGCTTTTTGGGTGGTGGCAAACACATCATGAGGTCCTACATCTTCACACTAAAACCGAAAGTTCTATGGTTTCGACTAGGAACCTTCCTTACAACCAATGGCCACTACCATCGGCCTAAAACCTCATTTCTCCCTTCCAAACTATCACCCATCATGAACTTCCTTTAAGCGCTCTTCCTCGGTCTACTCTTGCTAACACATTTCACCTTGGTAGTGAAGGAGTTCTAAGATAATGTGGAGGTTTCAATGACTTGAGTGCCAAGAAACATCTCATAGAGCATACTCTTTGATTCCTTGTGGCACTCTCTACTTTATTTACCCTGTTTTATTGCCTCTTTTTCGTTTCCCTTTTTCTTTTTCTTTTCAGGGGGGTACTAGAGAGTTAAATACTTGCCACCTTTACATTTAACGACCAATGTTCTCTTTTTAAGAACTCACTCCAACACTACACCTTCCTTTTCATTTTCATTTTCATTCCTAGCAAGAACCGCACACAATCCTCCTATGTAGAACCTCAATGGATCTCAAAAGCTAGAGCTCCGGGACACAAGGATGACACAGGTATAGACACAAAGAAAAGATGGTGAGTCGTTCTACCAACACCATTAAGCTCACGAACAACAAGTTCCTAGCATGAGAACGACCCCCAAAGTCACAAGGCTCAAAGGGGTTGACTAGTGGATAAATCAATTCGGGACAATCAACATTTGGGTGTGGACTAATCCTATGCCTCCATCATACTCACTAGTGGCAACTGTGATGTTACTCGCCATGGTAAGAGGGATCTAAGCACACAAGAATAAAAGGATCGGCTCAAAGCTCACATGGCTACCTATTCACCCAACCATCTATTCCAATTCACAAAGCAACATGCATGACAGTTGTAATCAACAATTATTCGAGTCAAACATCCATTCATTTTATCACACATGAGAACTAAACCTTTGCACTATCCTAATGCACCTCTCAATCATCATCATAGGACGCACTCGATCACATGCAACAAGCCAAGGTCAATGCCAATAACCACACGATTCTCCTACAAACTGGCCACTTTGATCATGCAAACATTACTTGGAGCCCTCAAAATTTTCAAATTTGGGCATACATCAAGGCTCCAAGCATCAATCACACTCACACAATCATAATAATAAACTACCCCCCCAAACTTAAGCTCGACATTTCCCTCAATGACGTAAGATAGGGGTAGAACGACGTTACCGCTTTGCTTGGTGAGTGAAAGTTGGAATTGTTTTTGGGGTATGAGATTTTGAGCTTCAAGGAGAAGACAAAAACACGCATACACAAACAAAATATCACTCTCTCAAGGCGAGGTTATTACACAACACAATACGATAGTAGTAGTAGTTTATAGTCACAAACACATAAACGAAAGAAAAATAAGAAAAACGAGTTCAGAGTCCCAAGTGGAGTAGTGGGGCGAAAGGAATCGGCTCTGCCACATATCCCCCTCGTCGGCTACCTCTCACTAGGTCGAAAGCCTCGGGTCATTATTAGGAATGAGACCCTGTCGTCGAGCCATCTGCTCAAGGAGGTCGGTCTGCCAGTCGATGCGGTAAGTCACTCCCCCAAACTGAGTCTCGAGGCGATGCATCCTCTAGACGAGGGGATCACCGGCTGGTCTGGATGATGAAGCTACTGCTGGTGGTGGTATAGGGCGCTGGAGCACGGGATGCCGGTGGCGGTCGGGTGCTCAAGTAGGTGGCTGCTCTTGGGGTGGAACCCCTGCATCTGGCTCCACTGGAGCCGGGTCAACTGCTGGGTGCATGGCTCCCGAAGGTCGGAGCACGTCGAGGTTATAGAGTGTAGCCACTGGGAAGGGCTCAGTCCTCCCGACGATGGGGCATTGCTCCACATCCACTCCGAAGTGGCGGGCAATCCTCGTGATGATTCCCCCCCATGTGCATGGTGTCCACCCTGTTCCACCCCAGACACCAGGCGAAAGAGGTGACTATCAGTGATCCCAGATGGATCGGCTCCGCAGGATGCCACATGGAGAAGAGAGCCAGAATCCCTCCATTCGTCATCAACTGTCCCGACTGCAGGATGGGGATGACCAAACGAGTGAGCAGTGTATGGAGAATCCTCCAAGGAGTCCTCAGCTTCACCGCATTGGTGCGGCTCGCCTCGTACTCCTCGTGCTCGTTCTCGGGGCGGTACTGGCACTCCTTCATCGTCATGTGTGTCAGGTCGAGCCCCATGACCTTGGCAAAAGCATCATAAGTCAGCACTTGGGACTGGCCTGCCAACATGAACTCCACATACGACTGGCTTCTCTTGCCAGTCGGGACTACATGGTCGAACGTGGAGTAGAACTCCAGGCATAGCTCGTGGTAAATGAGCTCGTCCATGGTGAGTAGCAGGCGCCACTGGGGGTGACAGACGACCCCCAACTTTGCGGCTCGGCACCTGAACATGATAAACATGTCCAGGTCCAGCTGCCAATGTGACCCGACCGGGCTCTCCCTCTGGTAGGCGAACTTGTCGCCGAATCGTGCGTGGCCCACCAAGTAGTTGATGAACTCGTGCTCCACGTTAAGCATCCTACAAAAAGAATTCAAACATGCACCATGCGTGGAAACAATTATCAATCACAACTCATTGGGAGGAAAAGAAATACCCCCCACACTTATGGTTCCACTACGGATTCAAACATTTAAGCTCAAACACATCGTGGCATGGTTGTGGGTATTTCACGGTTCATCTACACAAAAGATTTGAACCCTAAACCCATGCCACGGTGGCTACCATCCACCATTCAAGCATAGCAATGCACATTCATTCAAAAATTAGCACTTGGTGGACAAAATCTACAAATGAAAACAACTCGAATCAACAAATGCCCACCAAGGCTCACTAAGCTCATGCAAAGTCAATCATCCATTCAATCATCCTAATTCACCTAATTCCTCGCCCTAATTCTAAATTCAACATTCAAGACCCTAAAAATTCTCCTCACTTCTCTACCTAATCCGATTCTCCCAAAATAAATAAGGTAGAGCTGAAAACCAACCTGGAGACTCAAGTAGGACATAGGAGGAAGTGAGGTGAGGGCGAGGAAGACAAAAACAACTTAAAACAGCCCAAGAGAAGGGTCGCCGGGGATTCTTCAGAATCTCGTCAAAGGCTCGCCGTCGGCGACATTGTTGGAGTAAAAATCCCCCAAATCTACCCAAAATCTAGGAGAAGGCCGCCTTTGATGAGGGAAGAACGGTTTTGAGGTTTGATTTGGGTTTTGCTCGGCGGAAGTGGGTGAAATAGCCTGAAAAACCGTTGGAGAATCGCGGTTTTCCGGCGACTTTTGGTTCGTGAAGTGAAGGGTCAACGTTCACGCCCATTTTATAGACGACGCTAGCAGTTCATGGACGCGTTTGCCAGTTCACGGTGAACACAAAAATGCGGCCGCTGTGGGTGGTCGACAACTGGCACGCTCATGGAAGTTCCCTGTTCATGGTCTTGTAAAACCGTGAACTGGGCAATGGGTCCGTGAACCTCAAAATCGCAAAACCAAAAAACGTGGCATGGGGATACCACTCGACCACTAGAAATCTTCACTTGACACAAAAATGAAAATAAGAAAAAAGAAAACAAACATACGTTGGGTTGTCTCCCAACAAGTGCTAAGTTAACGTCACTAGTTTGACATTGCGGATCTATCATGTCTTGGAACATGATGCCAGAGAGAGTGGATCTGCCACGATCTTGGGTCGAGGCTTGTAGCCTCCCAACTTAATTTCCATCGGATGGTCTTCTTGACCAGGCATCTTTGCCTTGCTCTTGTCCTTCACCAACGAGTGGCCTCCATTCTTATACCGTTTTAGTCTCATTTATGGTGTTTTAAGCCGATTTCACGCTAGGATTGTCTATGGAAAGGCCTGCCATTTGCCCGTTGAGCTAGAGCACAAGGCCTTCTAGGCCCTTAAGCTGCTAAACCTTGATTTGAGTCTTGCAGGTACCAAACGTAAAATGCAGCTGGTGGAGTTGGAAGAGTGGCGTTACCATGCATATGAGAACACCAGACTGTATAAGGAGCGAACCAAGCGTCTCCACTACGCTCGACTCAAAGGCTCGAAGGAGTTATAGATGGCCGATCGTATTTTTCTATACTACTCCCGCCTGTGACTCTTTCCGGGAAAGTTGCGCTCCCGGTGGTTTGGACCGTTCACGATCACCCAGATGTTTCCCTATGACAACGTCGAAAGCGCCAATCCGCAGACTGAGACCTTCAAGGTGAACGGGCATCGCCTCAAGCTGTACTTGGGAGGCGATGTCGAACGCCCGAAGTTGGTGATTGATCTCGCTGACCCTTAGTTCCGCCATGGGGGCCCAGCTAAAAGACGGTAAAGAAGCTCTTGTGGGGAGGCGACCCCACCTCGGTTTGCATTTTCTTCCTTTTCTCTTTTTATTTTTCAGCTTTTTGTGTGTCATATGTTGAACATGGAGTCCCGGAACATCTCGAAACTGCATTTTCATCCTTCCCACCAACGGCGGAACCAAGGGGCCACATTAGGCATGTGCCCAGCCGTCCTCTCATGTTCAACCTACCCTACAACCTCCAAAATCTATAGCCCATCCCTCTCATTCATTAGGGCTCAACCCTCTCCCTACCTCCCAAACCCAAACTCCAACTCTCCAATTATACAGCCAATTCACTGCACATATTAATTTCTCTGCCGCTAAGAGAAGAAAGGTAAAGAGAACAACAAAAAAAACTCAATCACGCAAGAATTTACAAACCCGCAAAGACACAGATGAAAAATTCTAAAAATTTCCTCCAATCACTTTCCCACTCACAAGCAAAAAAGTTACTTTTTTCCTTTTTTTTCGACCAACAACCTCTTCCCCTCTTGTCAAACAACCAATGTACGCGATGAACATAATCATGTTTTCTTAGGCTGCTCTGATGGAGAACTCCCCCACACTGTCGCCGGCTCGATTTCCACGGCGTTGACAGAGTTTTGGAGCATCACATTTCATCGGAGCCTATGCCTGACGGCCATTGTCCTCGTCTGTCAGCTACTGCTACTCTTGACTCTTACATGCGGCATTACTAAAGCTCAAGGATTTCCAAGACAATAAATTTTAGAGCTCTAGATTGGATATAAATAATACACTTCCTCTGATCTGGCAAGGTTGGGTATAAACATTTTTAGAACTCATGGATTGCAGTTTATTGATTATGTTTGTTCTTCTGTAGTTGTGTTGTGTTTAAACTTGTTCATTGATGATATGAATGATTAATTTTGTGCATTAATGTAAAATTTAAGATTTGGATTTTATCATCACATATTCTCAACCACCAACAAAATGGGCTATGAATATCTACCAAAGTGTTTAAGTATTTTCTTTGAACCTTGCCCGTCTTGGTATTGTATCAAAAAATTAAAGAATGTCACAATAATTCCATATACGACAACCCAGTTATAATTGTTAGCAAACTAATGAACTCTCAGTATTTTATATATTCCAATTGAAAATATTAAAGCAATCTCTTGTAAAAAAATAACATTATTAATATTTTCTTCACAATTTACATGGATCATCGTTAAGTCATACTTAAACCGCAGTACAACAATTTTGAAAATGTGATATTTTTAGAGAAATAGATTGTTTTCTACAACAACAAAAAAAAAGAGAGAAAAAGATTGTTTATATATCCATAACTCCTAAGCTTTCTAATTACATTCTTTTTGAGCTATTAGGTGTGCAAGTTAATCATTTGCTCTACCCCTTTGAAATTCTCCATTCCACATCCCATTGATGTATTATTATGAAATTCACATCATTAGATTAGTGTAAATTCCTTCAGTGCATCGAGTCAAAATGAATCATTTTGGATTTGACTTGCCAACCTAACTAGTTTGTCGACTATTGCACATGCCAAGAGGAATCGTGGACATTTGCTTCATTGCTCTTTTGCTATAAAGAAAAGTTGGTCGATTGGTTAGCCTAGTTAGAAGGGTATAATATGAGCAAATCAATCCATTTAAAACAAACTCACTAAGCATTTTTAAAGAATCAAACCTTTAAACCAAATCATAATTGATAAAAAATAACTCGTTGATGTACCACTTCGCTCTACGTAAATAACTTACGTGTGAGTGTGTCTTTCTTAATGTGTAATTTTTTTCTTCAATATATGAAAAAGTTGAATGATTTTATAGATTTCGTAATGAAAATTTCCTATACAAAAATAATTAAAATTCAAGTTCAAATGAAGAAACTATGAGTCCATCAAATTTGTTTAGGGGAGTAATGTTAGAGAGAGAGTGTGTGACATGTGGAACACTCTGGTTGGCTAGAAGATAGATTCATTTTTAAGGTTTAATTTTAATTGAAAATGACTACTATGTCCCTCCTATAATCATTCTCCTTGAAGTAATTTTTAAACCAAGAAAAGTCAAAATGTAAAACTTCATCATAATGTTGTGTTGATTGATGTTAAGGGTCTTGTTTTGATTGCAAAGGACTATTTTGTCCCTCTACAATCACTCTCCTTGCAAGAATTTTCAAATGGAGTGAAGCAAAAACTTCAAACTCCATCTTATGATGAGTTGATGTTGATGATTTGTATATATCGCCAGATTGTTAAACGATTATCTTGTTAGCAGTGTAATCGATGACTGATAAATAGTAAAGAATTGGTTACCAATGATATGTGGAATATGTTATTTTGGACCTCCATATTATTATCAAAATTGCATTGATATTCCATCTTTATCGTCATAATACCTTGGATGTGCTATGTGAATGCTCAAACTGTATTTGAGGACTGCTTTATTATTACGATACGCTTTTGGTAGCGTTATGTGCATTTTCATGTCAAAGCATGCTAAAAGACCACTTGGGAGCATTGAGGGACATCGAGGCTCGACTGCTGGAGCATGATTTGAAGAGAAGACCAAGCATTGAAATGAAGCCTAAAATGACAGCCCATGATACAAAACGACACCCAAAATACCGTTTCATGAAGTTGCAATACTTTGTCAAGAAGGCGCCTACAAGTTATCCTAAAGTAGTAGATGCATGGAGAGACTCTTCTTATTGCCTGGATGACGCGTCAACGCCAAACTCTTCTCCCAAGAAACGGTAATCCTAGACCTATAAATAGGTCTCTAAGTTTTATGACTCGGCAACCAGTGATAGGAGGCAGTTAGAGGGTTGTTACTCTGCTGATAGAGTAACCCACCTGACTTGGAATGACACCTATGGCAAGGGAGGAATCAGAGACAAAATTGGCAACGCAAACTATATTTTCCCTATTTAGGACAACCGATTCCAGTGGTGTTCTGGGATCTTCATTTTTTACTGATGAATCCCTAGAACCCATCCACTTGACCGACTAGTTCCCTTAGTTGCATGGGTTTGCAAACCCTACAAGTTCTAGATATAAAAACTCGATGTTTGGTATTCAATAGAATTGATTTCATCTTTCTATCAATTGTGTATGATTTCCTCCATGTTGTCTTTTGTATATTCGAACGAGCGCTTAATCGAGCATGCATCCCTTTGTGGTGCAAGCATTGAAATTTTAGTCACTTAGAGCAAGACCAGACATGGTGGCTCTACTCGATCGATTATCATTCGATCAAATAGCATGATGCCTCAAAGAACAAATTTGTAGGGTCCCTTTCTCTCATTATTCCGAGAACCGACACAAGGTAAGAAATCAGAAACTGATATGCTTCTGATATCGAGGAAACTTGTCTAGGAAATCTAGGGATAGCTTGCTTGTGCAAAGCCTATCTCTTCTGTCTTCCTCCACTCTCCGAGTAGTATAGTTTTCCTTTATTTTCACTTTCTTTATTTTATGTTTTGCTAAACAAAAGGTACCTCAACCTCCTATATAAACTTTCTTTAAATATAGAACTTGATAACACTTTATTCGAACATGTTTTCCCATCATTTCTTGATCCTTTGAGCTTGTATTCTCGTTATCGTGGCTCGTTTTATGCTAGGTTGTGTTTGTTTATGATGTTTCAGGCCCTAGTACGTGAACGGGGGTGGAAGAGCGAGTTTTGGGACGATTTGGAGCGAACGGGCAGAGAGCTGGGAGGAACTACGAGCTAGCCTTGGGAGTTACTGTTGCAACCGTAACTTGTCCCAAGCGGTCGTAACTTCTTGGAGGAGAAATGACCAAGTCCAGAGAGTTCTCGGGAGTTACGACCAGACCTCCGGAGTTATGGTCTAGACCGTAACTCATGCCTTGTGCCCGTAACTCTTGGGAAGCGACGACCTAAGTTCCAGGAGCTATTTTTGAGTTACGACCTTCCCTCTCCAGTTACAATTGCGACTGTAACTTCTCCAA